AAGATAATGTGATAATAACTGATAATTGATCTGAGTCTTATAGCAGAGAAAGGAATCTGTTATGTGTGAGAGAAAGATGGGAAGACAGATATTTGGAGAGGTTTAGCACTTTATTAGAGGTTGCGATAGTAGATTTTAATCAAATATTTGTCAAATCAGTGGCTAATCGTGTAAATACGTACCCAACAGAATATTCGGCTTGATAGCAGTGAGTAATAGCTATTGGTTTTTAAGGGAGTTTCTACCCCTCCTTGTCGTCGTTTATGTTTACATTTTTAGGTGTTGAGTGTGTAACCTCTGAAAAGGAAGCCTTCACTGGTATCGATTATGCTTTCCTTGTTGGAGGTAAAAATTTAGTCCGTGCATTATTTGGCTTGACATCAAAGAAGCACAAAAAATTAGATTTGCAGCTATGCCTCGAAAAGAGGGTATGGAACGAAAAGATCTCCTTGCTGCCAATGTGAAAATTTTCAAATCACAGGGCAAAGCTTTGGCTGAATACGCTAAGCCGACCACTAAGGTTGGTCCTGAAATATTTTGTTGCTTAAGCGTTTGAGCATGTTTACTACGATATTTTAGGTTATCGTTGTTGGTAACCCAGCCAACACCAACGCCTTCATCTGCGCCAAGTATGCTGCGCCGAAAGTACCCGCTCGTAACTTCTCCGCCATGACCAGACTTGACCACAATCGTGCCACCGCTCAGGTACTTAAAATCCTAAAATTTTAAAGAGAGCTGCAAGCTACTATACCATCTAGACACTTAGTGATATTGCCCGTCGGGTGTAGTCTAACTGTAGGGTTACGGTAGGTGGAAAGGGAGTCAGCATCACAGTTAATTGCCTAAAAAGGACCGAATGGTATAATTTTTTTGGTCCGCATGTCATATTGCCTTCTTCCTGTCCTCGTATTGTCTGAAACTCAAATATTGAGGTCCCACCAATAAGCATAAAAATACATGCTCAGGCGGAGTAATCAGTTAATCTTCTACTTCAGCAATAACATCAAATTTAAAATTATGGAATTACGAATTACATAGACAGATTGTACTTTTGTTTACGAGTCTAGCAGAGGGCACACATTAGCGTATTCACGTTCGTTCTCCCTCTTGAATGCACTTTGGGATTGAGGCGTTAGGGTCTGACGACGTGGCATTGAACAAATACGAAGGGGTGTATGAGGAAGTCCCTTGATTGATTTGACAGCGTTCAATAATGATTTTTCGAAGAAAAAATGACACATTGTGTCACATTTAGTGAGGAATATGATGCGCCTTTCAATTGGTAGTTGATGCCTCTTTTGCTTTTGTTTCCAAATATCCCGTACTATCTAATCATAGGAAATGCAAGATTTTTCAAACAAAAAAGAAATAAAATATCAATCGAATATTGGCTAAATGAAACTATAGGATGAATAATATAATCTTCAGAGTTTTCATTCCTTAAATTTTTAAAAATTCTGAAGTGTGGCCGCATGCATATCTTCTCGAAAAAATTCAAACCTTTATCTAAATTTTAAAAACTTCTTGTCGTCTATGACCATTTGTTAGCGGCTGTTTCTTATATTCTCAAATTTCCTATGGTTGAACGGAGAATAACAAGAGGTGAAGGCTGCAGAGGTCATGAAGCTGAAAGTTTGAGAAAAGTTGATTTTGTCTGTAAGAAACGGTCGCAAAACATATCGGGAAGTGTGTTCCTTTATAATTTCCATACATTCATCTTAATCGGATTTGCTGAACAAAGATCAAAAAAGCTATATGTAAAAAGCTGTATAATTTTTAGTCAAAAGAGAATTATTGAATAAGTCATTGACTAGTATTGGAAGAGGTATCTAATTGCTGAAATTTGTGAATTTATTGAATTTATTTAACCATGACTGTGTTACGAGCATAAGGATAAATGTAACGCCGT